TACTTATGATTCTGGTGATCTGGTTTGGTGGCTGGGCAGCGCCTTCTGTGTTCCCAGGTCACGTTTTGTTCATTCGCCAACTCCTCAGCTGATCTTGTTTTTTCAGACTTCAAACTGTAGGGATCTGAATCCTCTCCCGGATGGATTTCAGCTGAGCGGGGTAGTCTCACCAACACCTCCAAGTTGTTGGGTTTTGCCGGATTAGCAGCTGGGCCCTGGGTTGGCCTCAGATGGAGTGTTCAGATTCGTTCTGGTTCCGTCCCACGGAGATAACTTTTCTCCGGGTGTTGGGGTTAGAGGCGTCCATGTTCCAAGCTTTTGATTAAGAGCTAGTTTTCACTAGCTCTTCAGCGGGTAATAGCTCTGTTTCTGGTCTTTATTGCGACTGTGTTTTGGCTACTGTCCGCTGGGCCTGCCTGCCTCCGCACTGGGCCCGTCTGCCTCTGCTGGGCCAGTCTACCTCTGCTGGCCGCTGCTGCCGGCCTACCTGCCTCTGCTTGTTGCCGCTGCCGTGCCTGTCTACATCTGTGGGCCGCCGCCAGGTCTGTCTGTCTCTGCTGGGCCTACCTGCCTCTGCCTGTCGTAGTTAATTTTTATCAACTTTCTTTTCTCTTTTTACAAAGTTTTAGCAGTTTTTTTTCTTTCTAGCATGTGCCCCCACAATTGATTCAAGGTTTTTTTTTTTTTGTTGTTGTTGTTGTTTGTTTTGTTTTTAATTGACAAATGTTAATTATTTATATTTACAGAGGACACTATGATATTTTGATTTATGTACACATAGAAAGATTTTGTTGAGGTTATGTACCCTTCATCCACTCATTTTTTTTCTAATGAGAATATTAAAAATGTGTTTTTTAGAAATTTTAAAATGTTTAATATGTATTAGTAACTGTGGTCCTGGTCCTACACTGCCTATCACTAAAACTTAGTGGATGTATATATATTATTTAATATCTGTCACATACAAATAACTTAACCATAACTTTCCTCTCATATCTTTTCTGGTAAGAAGTCTGAACTATTACATTGATCAGTAGTGCTTATCTTACAGAAAGTATGTTAAAGTTTTTAAGAGAATTTTGTTTTGTATAGTCATGATCTTTGTGTAAAGTTTCTTGGTGCATGGATTTTTCTTTCCACTCAAAATGCCTTCCTGTTAAAATTAGGTAAGATTAAATTCTATTTATACTTGTTCAAAATTATTAGGAACACTCTGTGAAGAAAAAGAAGAAAAAGGACAAGCATTCAAAAAAAGTGAAGAAAGAGAAGAAAAAGAAGAGCAAGAAACAGAAATGTGAAAAACAGAGTGAGTCGGCTGACAGTTCCTCAGTAAGTGAGCATCTAAGCTCTGCAGCTCTGGAGAGTAGTGCACTTGAAGGAATAATGTATGGAAACTGATGGTGCATGGTAGAAAATGCATGATAGAAAAATGTCTACAAGATAGCTACTTGAAGTTTCCTGGGGAAATGCTGGCAATGTAAATTATTGGTTCCAGAAAGAAAGTGGGATACCATTTGTTAATCTTTGTTGGAGATGTGATGATAATGAAATGTGCAGGGAAACTAAAAGGTGACTAGGAACACTGAAGAGTCACATGGAAAGGATAGGAAAGCACTTGTACAAAAGTGGTTGGAAATTTTTAAGGCAGAGCAACAAAGAATGTTTTATAAAAATAAGGGAGAAGAGTTTTAAAACACTGGAGTCTAGTTTTCTTTGTGTTACTGTTTTCTCCATAGAAAGTAACATCTAAGTCTTCAAAATAGAATTTGTTTATTTATCTTTTGGCCAAAAAGAAGAGAATGGTGGGTAGCCAGTTTAGTCTGTTTGGACTCAGAGGAAAAAAAAAGCCAAACCTTTCATACTTATTTTCAAGAAGAAAGGGGTATGTGTAGATAGTGATGGCATAGAAATGTTTAGGGTTAATTACTTCTTCAGACAAAATCAGGTTCTGTCAGCAGCAAGGAAGAGATATTACATGCTGGGTGTTTGTGGCGCATGCCTTTAATTCCAGCGCTTGGGAGGCTGAGCCAGGTGGATCTCTGTGAGTTCAAGGCAAGTCAGGTCTACAGAGCAAGATCCAGGACAGGCACCAAAACTACATAGAGAAACCCTGTCTCGAAAACAAAAAAACAAAAAAAGAGAGAGATTACATAGTCTTAGTGACAGGAACCATGCAAGATAAGTGCTATGATCAGGTTTCCCTCTAGCACTCCAAATGTATGATGGATAGAGACTTAGATATTGGAGAAGGAAGGGGAGCAGGAAAGATGGGGATTCTAGAGCTATATTTGGTTATTCAGTTGTGAAGGTGACAACATTTAGGTCTAGGAGTCATCTTTAGCTCATGGAATTAGAATTGAATTGTGCATGCTTTACAATCTTACCAAGTCCAGTGTTGCTTTCTTTCTTTCTTTTTTTTTTCCTGAATTCTACTTTTCAACACGCAGGTGGACTCTTAACAATGTTTTTTCAATTCTCCTTGATTTTTACTTCAGCCCATTTGACTTAGTTGAAATTAATTTGGTCTGTAGACACAGGCCTCTGAACCAATCTGTTGTGGCTAGAACTGGAGTTGGGGCTAGGTTTAGATATATGCTCCTAGGGCAGTGATGTGGTGTTTGTTAGATGGTATATTTGACTAGTGTTTTGGAGTTGAAAATCAGCTTGGATAAGTGGGCAAGATGATCCTGTGATTTCTAACTTGAGATGTTGGGTAACTCAGTAATTCAGCAGAAGAAACAGGCTTTGTGGAAGATGAGGGGTTTATTTATCCTTGAGTTCATCGTAACACTCAAGATGCTAATTAAGTCACTGAAGCTTTGGTTGGACAAAAAAGAAGAAAAAAGGTAATTAAAACCATGAGGATGAATATAATAGTCCCAATGTAAAGAATAAAAAATATAGTAGTGAGATGGAGCCTCTAACAACATATGCCTAAAAATAGAGTAAAGGAGGAGGAATATAGGAAGGAAATGCAGAATAAACATTGAGGGTTGGACTGGAGACTATCTTGAAAATCTTGAACATGAGTCATCAACAGAGTTGAAGTTTTGGAGATAAAGACTGGAATATTTTGTTGAGCTTGGAAATATCTAAGCCATTTATCAAGTTTGAAGCGTTGGTACTAGATTAATGTGTATGATAGTTATGAGTTTAGAGAAATGTTTGATGGGGCAATTACTCGTTGAGTAATATTGTCTTAGAAATGGAGTAGTTGGAAGATGAATTGCTGCTACAGGTGTACATAAGGCAAGAAAATGCCTCCCCTCAAAAAAGATGGGGATTTGAAATGCTTCAGCATACAAATCTCTCAGCCATCAGAGCCCTTTCTTTGAAGCAAACCAGAAAGAGAGCAAGGTGGCTGGAGTGAGACCAAAACCCTTGGAGGAGGACCTGCCTTGCAGCAGGAGGAGTTGACAGGAGATTAGACCAAGCACAACGGTAAATAATTTTTGCCAGGGGGTTGGGGGGACTAGGTAGGAAGCAAAGTGATCTATTTTGCTAAAGTAAGAGGAGAGATCATTTGTTGTAAGTATAGGAAATGTTAATTGGTAGAAAACTCTAGGAAGGTGTGAAGAAGATAACAGTGTTAGGTACAAAGTAGGCAAGCGTGATTGTGGTTTCTGTGGTCATAGAACTTACTACCTAACCAATTAAGGATCAGTAAGGTGAACTCTAGTTTCTTTAGTGTCTAGTTAACTGAAGTTGCAGGTGGTGATGATGACTTTTGTGTTTGGAACTGTGGTGATAAAGTTCCCAGTGGCTCAAACTAATGAAAAGTCATTGGTCAGCATATGGTAAGTCAGAGAAAAACCTTCACTATAGAATTCTTGTGACAGAACTTCCTGGAACTCAAACTTCTTTGTTATTTTACTTAATTGTAGCAAATTAGCCATCTTCTGAAAAAAGTACTGTTTGTTTCAGGCTGTAAATTCCAGTTTTAATGCATGGCATAAAGAATTGTGATTGAGGCACTAAATTGATTTGACAATATAAACTTGAGTTAGGATAGAAATACATATGTAATGACCTTTTAAAAAAAGTATGTAAATATGAATAAGCTCTGGCATTTCAATCCAAATTAAGGAATGAATGAATGAATGAGTGAATGAGTGAATAAATAGAATCTGCTTTGCTTTGGGAAACAGTTGGCAGTTGATGTGGCAGAGTATAAATATGTTTTACATATTTTAATATATCACGTGACAGATATACTTGTGACTTAAGGGCTAGAGAGATAGCTCAGCAGTTAAGAGCATTTGCTGCTCTTTCAGAGGACAGAAGTCTAGTAGTTCTTAGCAGCAGGCCAGGGATGGCCCTCCCCCATGGATCACTAAATGAGAAAATGCAAGGAGGCATTTCCTCAACTGAGGCTCCTTCCTATGATGACTCTAACTTGTGTCAAGTTGACACAAAAACTACCCAGTACAACTGACCCTTTGTCAACTTGACAAACACATCACTATTAAGCCATAACCCTTCCTTTCTTATTCATTCCTAAGATCTCACATTAAGAACATAAATACCTTTAAAAGTCCCACTGTCTTTATAAACTTGAACACATTAAAATTTTAGTAACCAAATTTTTAAAATCCAAGGTGTAGCAGGAATCTTAAAAGTTCTTATTAATAAAATCAAACCCGAGGCCAGTTATTGGGGTAAATGCTGGTAGATCAGAGAGACAGAACAAGCCACAGCTATCTCAACTTGCCAGTTCCTCAGCTGATCCTGTTTCCTCAGACTGGAAGCCTCTAAGTCCTCATCCAGAATGAATCTCAGCTGAACTGTGTTGCTCCAAAGCCTGAAAGCTTAACCAGCCAAATGCTTAACCAGCCAAATGCTTGCTAAATGCTTCTAGTTTCTCATCCTCACGCCTTATATATCTTTCTGCTTTCTACCACCACTCTCTGGGATTAAAGACTGGCTTCCTGGGATTAAAGGCGTGTGCCACCATGCCTGGCTGTTTCCAATGTGGCCTTGAACTCACAGAGATTCAGAGGGATTTCTGTCTCTGGAATGCTAGGATTAAAGGCATGTGCTATCACTGCCTAACTAGTGGCTTTTCTGTTCTCTGACCCCAGATAAGTTTATTAAGGTACACAATATTTTGGGGAACACAATACCACCACACCAAGATCTTTCAAAATTCAAAGTTTCTCAACTGTGGTCTCCAGTAAAATATGTTCTTACTTTAAGAGGAAAAAAATCAGGGCACAGTCCCAATCAAAGCAAAACAAAATTCCAACTATCCATTATTTGGGATCCATTCACGATCTTCTAGACTCCTTCTGATTCTGCCTTCTGTAGCACACACAACTTGTCTTATGTTCTCCAACTGGCTCCACTCCATTGCTTCTCCTGTTCTTTGTGGTTATCCTTTGGTACTGTCATTTCCAAAATGCTGGGGTTCCTCTCTGCAACTGGCTGTACTTTCACCAGTAGCCACCTCTAATAGGCTCTCTTCATAGTGTCAAGCCTTGCTTCTTTTCATCACCACTTCAGTCCTGGGCCTTCAGCTGCTATATGTTTACTGAGGCTATATGTTCACCAGTGGCCTTTCCTGGCCTCTCATAGTGCCAAGCCTCAGCATGCCTTCAAAACCAGTGGAAGTAAGCCACTAAGCAGCTCTCCTCTATGGCCTCTGCATCAGCTCCTGCTTCCAGGATCCTGCCATTTTTGGAGTTCTTGTCCTGACTTCCTTCAGTGATGAAAAGCAATGCTGAAGTGTAAGCTAAATAAACCCTTTTCCCCACAATTTACTCTTTGGTCATGGTGTTTCGTCACAGCAGATAGACACCCTAACTAAAACAATTTGTGTGTGTGTGTGTGTGTGTGTGTGTGTGTGTGTGTGTGTGTGTATCTGAAACACATGGTCTTGATGTCCTGGATCTGTAGCTATGTCTGCCTGTTGTGAGTCATCAGTGTGAGTGCTAAGAACTACTAGACTTCAGTCCTCTGAAAGAGCAGCAAATGCTCTTAACTGCTGAGCTATCTCTCTAGCCCTTAAGACACAAGTATATCTGTCAAACTCCTTTACATGGGTGTTATTTCCCTGATACTATTGAGACAAACTTGTGAGTTCATTTGGACATTGGTAGAAATTGAGCCTTGCTATGGTGTTTCCCTTTCTAGCTTTTAATTTTATTTTTTGATATAACTTATGAGAGGAAGAATGGATTTGGCTATGTCTTTTGGACTCAAACCAAAGTAGGATTTTCATGTTATTTCTTGAGATTTTCCAGTATTATTTTTAAAAGGGGAAAACAATGAAATAATCTCTTCTAAGAAGCTGAATTATTTCCACTTAATGTCATTATTTTATGTATAAGTATGCAAATTATAAATGTCATGTATATGCTAAATGTTTCTAGAGCTCTGATGAGTGGGTTGAGGCCATCCCTTCCCAGACACCTGTTAAAGAAAAGACCTGGAAAGTGAAAGACAGAAGGCCAGAAAAAGCATGTGACAGCCACATTATGCAGGTGAGTACCCACCTGATTTAGAGAGAAATGGCTTCTGAAAGCAGATGAGTATTAAACTGATGGTAATAACTTCAGGAGAATTATACTTTAGCAGTAGTTCATGAACCCTCTCCACAGAAATGCTGAATGCTGGTGTCCAGACTGGCCTTGTCCTGATGTGGAAGGTAGATGCTCATCTGTGCTGCAGCCCTTCAGAGCTCTCTCAGCTGTGGTTGTTGGCATTTTCCTGTTCTGTTGGATTTACCTAATACTAGAAATCTGAATCTCCTGTCTAGTTCAGTTGCAGCTTTTTTTTCTCTTCCCCTTATGTCATAGTTTGCTTAACAATGCTTATAGTTTTGAGTACTGATTCATATACATACCTAAGAAAGAATATAGTTTACCCACTTAGCCACAGATACATGAAGAAAGGAGCTAACAATTCATTATGTGTGCGCGAGCCTATGTTGGCTGCCTTTCATATGCATTTGTTTACTCCTTAAAACAAACTTGAAAGGTGAGTTCTTTACCCCACTTTCATAAGGGAGAGGCTAAGGTGCAGCAAAATGAGAGGTGTGTTGAGAGTGGCTAACCACATAGTGTTTGCTTCTGCCTGGTGCCTGCAGTTTCTAATACTGAGAAGGTCTTAAGTACAGATTGAACTGGTTTCATTCTTTTAAACAGCGGGATGAGTGGATGACTGTTGATTTTATGTCTGTCAAAACTGTGTCCTCATCATCACTCAAAGCTGAAAAGGAATCTCTAAGGAAAATAGAGCGGGAGAAAGCCCAAGCGCTAGAACAGGTAAGGAATAGTTGCAATGCTTTAATTTTTTAATTTGCCGTATGTGGTGGTATTGTGTTCTTCAAAATATTGTGCACCCTTATAAACTTACCTGGGGCAGAGAACAGGACAGCCACAATATTAAACATACAGGATAGGCAGTGGTAGCACACACCTTTAATCCCAGCATTCCAGAGGCAGAAATCCCTCTGGATCTCTGTGAGTTCAAGGCCACATTGGAAACAACCAGGCATGGTGACACACGCCTTTAATCCTAAGAAGTGAGTCTTTAATCCTATGGAGTGATGGCAGAAAGCAGAAAGATATATAAGGCATGGAGACCAGAAACTAGAACCATTTAGCTGGTTAAGCATTTGGCTGGTTAAGCTTTTAGGCTTTTGAGCTACAGTTCAGCTGAGACCCATTCTGGATGAGGACTCAGAGGCTTCCAGTCTGAGGAAACAGGATCAGCTGAGGAACTGGCAAGGTGAGGTTGCTGTGGTTTGTTCTGCTTCTCTGATCTTCCAGCTTTCACCCCAATAACTGGCCTCGGGTTTGATTGGGTTAATAAGAACTTTTAAGATTCCTGCTATAGCCATAAAGTAAATGCCTTATTTGTAATAGCATTTTATTTGTGAAGTATGTTTTTTAATGATGTTTGATAACTAAGGACTGTGAAACAATTTTTTTAAAAACACTCATACACATAAAATAAAAATAAAAATGTGTTTTTTAGAGAAATATACTAGATTCTGGCTGGAAAGATGGGTCAGTGGTTAAGAGCATGACTGCTCTTCCAGAGGACCCAGGTTCAATTCCCAGAACCCACAGTGGGTGATTCAGGGCTGGCTGTAACCCCAACTTCAGGAGAGTCAATACTTCTGGCCTGGGCAGGCACCTGCATACATGTTCACATATTTTACACCGAGACACAGGCACATAAAATATATCTTTTAAAAGACATTCTAGATGTGTAAATCTAAGTAAATGGGGTTGAGCAATTATTGTCTGTTACATGACCCTTGAATTACAGTTGAACCATCAACTGAGCCTTCTTTATGTACACAAGTTAGTTATCATAAGAATGCTTTCAAGATGCCTAGAGTGCCATAAGAAATATTAAGCAAGCATGTTTGTTATTGTTTTCACTTTCGATGTCAAGAAAATAATGGGGAATCCTTAGAGACCACAACATATAGAAATGCTGAAGCTTGTGGCTTTCAGAGATTGTCTTAAAATTTACCTTTAATATAATATAGATCAACAAGTGAAAAATATAGCCAACTGATTTTGAGAGTTCTGTGGTCAGTGTTGTTTTTTGTTTTTTTGCTCCCAGTCTAATTTTAAAAGTAAGTTATGGTGATATATTGTATAACTTAATAAAATTTGCCTGAATATCAGAGAACAGAACAAGCCACTAGATTAAACATAGATGCCAGGGAGTGGTGGCACACACCTTTAATCCATTTGGATTTCTGTGAGTTCAAAGCCACCCTGGATTACATGAGATTGATTCAGCTGGAAGAGAAACAGAGCCAGACAGTGGTGGCACACACCTTAATCCCAGTATTTGGGAGTCACATACCTTTAATCCCAGCACTTGAGATCTCATGCCTTGCTTGGGAAGCTCACATGCCTTTAATCCCGGCACTAGCAAGGAGATGATGGGCGGAGAAAGGTATATAAGGCGTGATGAGACAGGAACTGGCCTTTTCAGGCTGAGGAGTCCTAGAGGTAAGACATGGCAGTGGCTTGTTCCTTTGTCTCTCTGATCTTTCAGCATTTACTGCAGTATCTGGCACCAGGTGTTTTACTAAAAGACTTTTTAACATTCAAGCTGCAGTAAGTATGGTAATTGTGTTGGTTTGTAATCAAGCTGCTACCCTTGGGGAGCATTGGAAAACAGGATTTTTTTTAATGTCTTACCTAAACTTTGGAATATCTTGTGTAAAACTCTGAGTTAGATGTCAAAGTTTTGAGAAATGGTAGGTGCTCAATAAAGACACATGAACATTAGTTAGACATGGTTACCTGCAAGTTAAATAACGTGTCTAAAGAATTTTAAATGGTTTGTTGAGGCTCATATATTCAACTGTTAGCCTCAAATTAGTTAGTAATCATTTCCATGGTGGATTGACTTTTACACTCTAAACTTTCAAAATGTCTTGTTCTAGTCCAAACTACAAGAAAGAGAATTGAATCCATATTGGAAGGACGGTGGGACAGGTCTACCATCAGAAAATTGTATACCGGCAGTTACTAAAGGTATTTTTATATTTTTTGTGGACTTGCAGGAGAGGAGTAAATATGATTAAAGTTTGTTATATATGTGTGTGACAATGTCATAATGAAACCCACTATTTTTTGTAGTTAATATGCACTAATAAAAGCATACAAATTCTTTAAGTTTAGTGTTCTTAAGAGAATGATTTGAGTTTATATATAACAAAATATTTATGAAATACCTGCAGTCTTTTGAACTCTTATTTACATTATTATTATTTAGAAAGTTTACTGTTAACGTATTTTGGAGCAAGATGATTCAGTATATATTGTGAATAATGACCATCATTTGCAAGTTTTTAGTTTAAATGGGCAAAGTTTAAGACAAAGCATGATCATGGGAAACTGTATATTGCATTTGTTTGTTAATTCTATAGCAAAATATAAAAATATATTTAGTGTAACATTTATGTAAATAATGTATGAACATTAAAGATGCAATTTTATTGCTTTTAGAAGTTCTTCATTTGTCAGCATTCATAAAATTTGTGGTGTTCTTAGGAGGTATTTTTCAGTTGATGGAGCATCACATAATGCTTAGTACGTTGTATTGCCAATTCAGTGATAGGTCCAATTGCAATTTAACCAGAATAAAATAAAATTGTGAATAATAATATTATCTTTTTGTCTTAGTTATTTATCAGTAATATTCTATTTATGCTGGTCCCAAGTAAATACACAAAGGCTTATATTAATTATAAATGCTTAGCCAGTAGCTCAGGCTTGTTACTAGCTAACTCTTTTTTTGTTTGTTTGTTTGTTTTTTTGTTTTTCGAGACAGGGTTTCTCTGTGTAGCTTTGCGCCTTTTCCTAGAACTCACTTGGTAGCCCAGGCTGGCCTTGAACTCACAGAAATCCGCCTGCCTCTGCCTCCCGAGTGCTGGTATTAAAGGCGTGCGCCACCACAGCCCGGCTAGTAGCTAACTCTTAAACTTAAATTAACCCATATGCTTTGCCACGTGGCTTGGTACCTTTTCTCAGTACGGCATGCCCATCTTGCTCTCTCTGCATCTGCTGGTGACTCTCTGACTTCTCCCTTCCTCTTCCTAGAATTATCCTAGTCTGGCTCTTGAGCTCAGTCTCTTCCTGCCCAGCTATTGGCCAATCAGCTTTTTATTAGCAAATGAGTGTAATACATATTCATATTGTAGAAAAGAATTGTTCCACAGCAGATTTTTATTTATAGATCATTTCTATTTGGCTCCTTCTTAAGAGTCTTTATTGTCTGTGAGCATGAAGCCACCAAATCCACTCAAAGACATCTTTAGAATTTTTACTTAGTAATTTTACTTCGTTATTAGTGACTGTACATTGTAGGCAGAGTTTTCCAGTCCCGACATCCCACTCCCAAATAACCACTCAGAGTCTTAATATTAATTGAAATGCTCAGCCAATAGCTCAGGCTTATTACTAACTCACTCTTACATTTTAAATTAACCCATATTCTTTATTTATGCTCTGCCATATACATGGTGGTACCTTTATTAGCATGGCACATTCATCTCCTGCTCCCTCTACATCTGACTGGCAACTCCTCTAACTCAGCCCTCCTTTCCAGTGTTATTAGTTTGAATGTCCCACATATACTTCCTGCCTTGCCACCATACAATTGGCTTTTTATTAAACCAATTCAAGTGACAAATCTTCACAGTGTACAAAAGGATTATTCCACTGCAGCACATTTTTATTCTGCTCTTAGCATTGACAGAAATGTCTCTACCAGATTAAGTATTAGTAATAGTAGTCATACAAAGCTTTCTAGAAAGTTAACAGGTAGGGAACAATCAGTGATTCGGTGATTTGTCTGTACTCATGTGAGTAGTAAGGGACCAGGCCTCAGATTCACATTGGAGCATTCATTGCTGAAGATTATTGAGAAGACTGATTTCTTCATGTGCTTGGTAGACACTGGTTTATGGGCTTTTTCAGTGAACTCTTGTTGGTTCTTCCTCCTCTTCTCTTTTTGGACTTTTCTGTCAGAATCTTTAAGTTGAAAGGATTGTTAAAGGTGGCTTTAATTAGCTGCATTATTTAACATGAAGATGGAAAAGTTCAAAGAAATGATTTGTTTTTTAATGTTAAAAATATATAGTACTAGCAGTGTTATGCCCAAAATACCCCCCAGAGAGACCACTAAAGACCAAGGATGCCCAGAATGCAAAAGCAAGGTTTATTTTCATTTCTAATTGAAACAGGGAACTCGTTTCAAGCACTTACTCGTCTCAGCGCAGCGAGGCAGGGAGGAGTTGCTCTTTCTTTGTGAGGCTGGCTTTTTAAAGGCAAAAACCATGAGTCCCTGCATGTTGTGGGGGAGTTAGTATGGGTACAATTCTAATTGGCTAAATCTTCCTGGGCCTCCATGTTACCTTATTTTAGTTTGTCTGTTTGCTCTGTTAGAACTTTTAGAGCCTGTTTCCAGAGTTGAGAAGTGCCATTTCTGGCGCTGGTTAATCAGTCACCACCAAATGGCCTGGCTTTTGTCCGGCATTTGGGGCACTCTTTTTGTTAATTAGTTGCTACCAGATGGCTGTACTTTTAAGTTTCTGGGGCTGGTGCTGTCATTTCTGGGAGCTTGAAACTGGCCTGGGTCTATCTATATTAAGATATCTTTGTCTAAGCCTCCTTCGTCTTAGAGAATACAGTGAGGGTCTCACAGCAGCAAGTCTAGGTTTTCTGATGCTCAATTTATTGTTTTTTTATGTATTAACTTGTCTTCTGAGAGAAATGGAAGAGATTTCTAGTGTTTGTTTGGTAGTGGTTTATTACAGCATAACTTATTAAAACCTTGAAATTAAAACTTAATTCTAGACTTACTTGGATAAAAATAGGTTTGGAATACCTAAATGTGGCATACTCTTGAATTTACTGTAATTATTGACAGACCATTTTTTCAGCACAGAAGGCTGAAAAAAACTTGCTATTTTCATGGTGTGAATTATAGTGTGTTTAACAGTTTTCATGAGTGCTAAATATTCATTAAAGATTTGTTGATTGAATCTGAGAATGCTGTTGCAAGTGAGTGGATCTGTTTCCTTTAAAATATTAAATTGGGTGATTTCTCAGTAGTATATTAGTATCATTCCTAGTGATAACACTAATAAGACTGTTCAGTTTATTTTATCAACCACAGTTGATGATGCATAGATATTCCTAAAGTTAGGATTCAAGTTGTGACTGAATTGTTGGGTTTTTATTCCTGTTAGGTTTCCTTCATACACAGTAGCATATGGGAATCAGTCTTATTTTTGTTCTCCTGGATTTCTCTCTAGACTGCTAATATCTTAGTGACAGTTGAGGAGAGATTGTCATGATGCCCAGTTGTTACTTGATTAGTTTTCTAGATGATTCTGTGGACTCAGTGATCTAATTATGTAGTTGGAACATTAATAAAGACATAAATTACTGGGGATTTTTTACTTATCACCATGCTGACTGCAGATTTGGGTTAATCCTTGGATGCTTACAGCCTGTAATTTACACTATGTAAGTAGAAAAGAACAAGTAAAATAAACTTTTGAATGAAAAGTGGCATCGTTAGAGATCTAGGCTTGAATCACAAAGTGTTTTAGATCTTTAAAGAAAGGCCACATTGTATTAAAAGTATTGCTTAGGAAATGTTGACTTTTGAGTAAAACAGTACAATTAATTTGAATATATTTTTTTTAGAAAAAATCTCTTTTGCTTTTGATTCTGTCTCTGAACTTAAAAAAATATTTTTATTACTTTTATTTATATATACATGTGGAGGTGGCGTGCTATGTGAATGGGAATGCAGGTGCCCATGCAGGCCAGATATGTCATTCTGGAGCTAGAGTTATAGACAGTTGTGAGCCAACTGATGTGAGTGTGGAAACTGAATTCTTGGGTCATCTGATAGAGCAGCACATGCTCTTAACCGCTGAGCCATTACTTTGTTCATTCTTAAGCCTCTTATCAAAGTCTGACATACATAGAAAAAGTACCTAAACCACAGATGAAACAGAGTGAAGATTGTCATAGAGTGTAGATGAATTTTAAATGGTCTTATTAAATAAATAAAACAAAACAAAACAACAACAACAAGAAAAACCAGGGAGCCAAATATGGGGGTGAATGCCTTAGATCAGGGAAATAGGGAAAGCCACTAGCCAACCTTACCTCAGCAAAAAATGAGCAACTTCCTGTTTACCCACACCTATATGCCTTGCTGTTCTGCCATCTGATTTGCTCTCTCCACCCATCTACTTCACTTCCTCTTCCTGCTCAGCTCTGTTACTTTCTATCTTTCTGTACAGACCTCCAGAACTTCATGGTTAACTAGTGTTAGAATTAAGGTGTGTGCCACCACACCTGGTTCTGTTTCCAGTGTGGCCTTGAACACACAGAGATCCTGCCTGCTAAGTGATAGGATTAAGGGCGTGTGCTACCACTGCCTGACTTCTTTGTTTACTTACAATGGCTGGCCTTTTTCCTCTGATCACCAGGCAAGCTTTATTTATCAAAGCACAAATAAAATATCACCACATTTCAGCACAAATAAAATATAAACACAATTGCGTGTTGTGGAAAGGCAGCACACAGTTGGAGAAACAACAGTTTTAACAACTCAAGAATGTTTTTGTTCCCTGCTAGTAACTCTGTCACTGGAGGGTTAATCATTATCTTATTTTCTAGCACCAAAAATGAGTTCTACACTTCATCTTTTTATTCTTTTGTCCACATTTGAAGTTCTTCCATATTGTTGTGAATAACTGTAGTCCATTTATTCTCTTTGTTGTATTTAAGAATGTATCAGGATCTCCATGTCCCTCTCTGGTGATGGACTTTTCCATGCTTGAGCTATTGGTAGGCTGTTCTGTTATGAAGATTCTTGTGTATGTCTCCAAGAGCCTGTGTGTGTTTCTTGGCTCTAGAGCTGGAGGGATCTAAAAGCAGTCTTCATTGGAGCAAGGAAAATCAGGAACAGAGTTTTAATTTAAGTAATCAATTAAATTTCTTTGTGCAGATTGAAAATGAGACACCACACACACACACACACACACACACACACACACACACACACACACACACACACACAGGTCATTGAAGGCATTCATATACTCATAGTTGCTAATCACAACTAAAGTTTAGCTTAATGACATTATCTTCTATAACTTTCTTATTTATTATTTGTGTTGCTTTCTCTTCTGGGCATATTTATTTCTTATTTCTGGAAGTGCCCATCCCCTATATATTTTAAAATAAATCCAACTGGAAGGTCAGAGAAAATTCCATAGAATAATGCTTAGGCTGAGCATGATGACACATGCTCTTAATCCCAGGATTTAGGAGATAGAGGGAAGCATTTCTCTGTGAGTTCAAGGCCAGTCTGGTCTACATAGTGAGTTCTAGGCCATCTAGGCTGCATAATAAGACCCTGCATTAAATAAATAATTCTTAACTTCTTTGATTTTTCTATAACTTTATTGAATTATATAATTTTATGCTTGTTTTTAAATTTATAAGTAGTTTTGTTTCACTTTCCTATTTTATCATAACAAGCCTTGGTAGCTTGCATAGGTGAGTATTTAAATACATAGTGAATATTAATTGTGTAATAACCACCTAAGAAATACAACTGATGCTTATTATTGGAATTTAGCTTCAGGAGTAGAAGATGGAGGATTAAGCTGGCTAAGAAAGTCTTATCAAAGAATGAAGGAACAAGCTCAAAAAGAAAACAGAAACTTTGAGGATATTGTAGTGGAAAAATATGGGGTAAGCATTGTTTCATAGTTATTTGAAAAACTAAATGTCTTTGTTTTGAATAATGCAACATTTTGAGTTAAATTAATATTATATTTATCTTCATTCTTTTAAGTAATTTCCTGCTTCTTCTTATGTAAGAATATTGCTTAAAAAATGTTTTTTATAGCCAGGTGGCTGTGGTGCACACCTTTAATCCCAGCACTCGTGAGGCAGAAGCAGGTGGATCTCTGTGAGTTCGAGGCCAGCCCGGGTTTTAGAATAAGTTCCAGGAAAGGCACCAAAACTATACATTTGTAAATTTATTTATGTGCCCGTACTCAGGAAGTACTCATGCCACAGGGCCCATGTGGAAGTCTAGGCCCAGCTTAAGGGAGTCAGTTCTTTCCTTCCATCATGTTGTTGTCTTCTACATGTGAATCCCAGGTATTGAACTCAAGTCATCAGACTTGGTAGCAAGTGTCTTTAGCTACTGAGCCATCTTGCCAGCCCATCCTACATCTTTTTAAGATTAACATAATGAACGTAAAACCCAAGTTTGTAAAACTTAAAATGTGTGTATGTTCAATATAAAAGTAGAATTTTTTTCTCATTGGAAGAAAATTTAAATAATACAGGGGAGTCTCTGTAGTACACCTTTAGAGATAAGCACTGCTGACATACTGGTCGACTCTAAAGCTTCATATTTTGTAGCATTTTGGCAATGTGACTATGCTTCATCATATATTTTTAAGCCATTTTGATGTCTTTTGTTTTCAGGTAATATGTCCAGTTTTTGCAAAGATTTTTATTTTGAGTAGAATTAGATACCTTAATCTGTAAGTCTTTCTCTTTCTGTCTCCATCCCAAAGGACCTTCTGTTCAAGAAAATCAGTTGTGTTGAATCCTCTGTTTATTTTTTCATGTTTTTCTCCCATCATCCTTTTATCTGGAAGTACTAAAATGTAGTTATGAGGGTCTCTAGAATCAAATGTCCATGTGTATTTTTTTTTTTTTTGGTCTTAAAACATGCATCTCTTTACTATTGTTTCTCAAACTTTAGAGAATTTATTGGTCTATTTGATTTTTAAAAATTTATTTCATTCAATGTACCTGAACATTTTTCCTTCATTTATTAGTCTTATTTTTAAGCACTTTTTTTCACAAGGATATATAGTTTTAGCAGCATAGTAACCTCTTGAATCTTAACAGTATGAATTAATTATAACTTTTTAAAAGTTGTGTCTATGGTGTCTGTGTGAAACTCTGTTGTATGGAACATTTGTTCTTAGTGCATCCCTTTTTGAAAATTTTAATTTGATTCGATTTTTTTTAATCTACTTATGCTTTTTAAAGTATTACTGTTGTGATTTTTGTGGTTCTGCCTATTTTGGTGGGGGTATTTTTACTGTACTATTTAACAGTGCATCATGACACAGTGTCATGTGGGAGACAAGACACTGAAACTTTCTTAATTGTAGATATATTATTCTTTCTTACAGTCAATGGAAATATTTCAGTCAAAATTAAAAGAAGCTGAAAAAATTGCATGCAAAAGAGAAGACTGTGGACGGGAACCGTGGAGGAAGCTTGCATATTCAGATAGAGCACAGTGTAGTCAAGCAAGTGGCACTTCAGACTTAGTGAAATGTAAGAAGCACTCAGAGGACAGACACTTTGCAAAAGAGGTTGCAAACAGTAGCAGCAGCAGCAGCAGCAGTAGCGACTATAAGTTTAGTGGTCTTGACTTAGGGAAGAGATCTGGGTCTTTAGAAAAATGTAGAAGAGAGTCTGCCCTAGAACAAAGGCAAGAATCTTCTGGAAATTTGAGACCTAAATTCTTAAAACCCTCTGATGAGGATCAACTATCATTTCACACCAAGAGGAGAAATTTTGAACCATCTACTTCATCTACATTAGTGGCTCCGGCTTCTTTACATTGTGATTTTAAAAAACTCACAGAGAACAGTGAAGAAAATTTGACTTCCTGGATCCTGCCTGGTGGGAGAGAAGGAAACCAAAAACATTCAGATCAAAAGCCACTGGAAACCTGGAGCAGGAGTGCTGATCAGCACTCTCCAGGAGATAGGAGAGAACATTTGCAGGCTGAGAACTTGAGGGGTGAACTACCAAGAAGAGGACATCTGCAGGATACAAAGTCAACATTTGCTGGGTATTTTATGTATTTTTATGTATTATATGTATTTTTTCAGTTAAGTTCTTGAGTGGGATCAGAAAACTTGATTTTTGTGGCCCTCTTGGAAGTAGGAAAAAAATGTGTCCAAAATGTAAGGACTAATTTCCACTTAAGCGATCATTTAATTACATAAAAGATCTGGGGAGATTGTTCAAATTGCTGGAGTAGCAATGTTGTGTATCCAGTGCTCCAGCAGAAAGATGGGAGGTGGAAACAGCAGAAACCCCTAGAAGCCAGATAGTCTTTGGAAACTGAAGCAGACATTTTGTTATAATGACTGGATAACCATGACAGGGACTAGAAAAAGTCAATATGTACAGTAACAAAAAAATGAGAGACCCTGTTTCAAACAACCTGGAAGGCGGCACCAACACTAAAGGTGGCCGTCTGACCTCCGCATTGTTTCCATGTGCCACTGAAGGGAAATTAATATTGACTGAATAACCATGGCAGGGATTAGAAGTCAAACTACCCAGGCTTTATTCCAGGTGCATTGTCATTTCTAGTCCCCAATTGCCAATGAATGAGGGCATTAATTATTGATATCATTAATATTGGCTTAGCATTTGTGTACAATGTATTGGTCTTGTTTTCTGTGAATGTAGATGAGCCATGTGTGCAAAGCTTCCATATGTCGTTACTATTCTTTCTGGTTGTTCCAGATTTCCTGAATGTTTTGTGTTATGACTTTTTTGGCTTTGGTGTTTTTTTTTTTTTTTTTGTTTGACTGATGAATCTATTTCCACTATTGTAACCTCTATGCCAGAGATTCTCTCTTCCATCTTTTATTCTGTTGATTATGCTTGCATCTGTAGTTCCTGTTCATTTACTCAGGTTTTCTATTTCTAGCATTCCCTCGGTGTCTTTTTCATTGTTTCTATTTCAATTTTCAGGTCTTGAACTTTTTCCTTCACATGTTTAGTTGCTTTTTCGTGTTTTGTTTGTTTGCCTTTCTTTAAGGGATTTGTTTATTTGTTCCAATTTTTTTGTTTGTCTTTTCTTCAATTTCCTTAAGGGAATTTTCATTTCCTCTTTAAAGGTCTGTCATCTTCATAAAGTTATTTTTAAGGTCTCTTTCTTCTGTTTCTTCTATGTTGTGATGTTGAGGTCTTGCTGTGGTAGAACCACTAGATTCTGGTGATGCCATATTGCTCTTTATTTTGTTGTATTTTTGCACTGCCATCTACTCATCTCTTTTTCCAAGAGGTACCTGTGTCTGAGTGAGATGCTCTTGGTCCAATTTATACTTGCTGTGTCTGTGTCTCAGGGTGCCAATCTGGGTCCAATCTTAGCTCTTGGTCTAATTAGAGCTGGTGGATTCTGTGTCTCGGGGCTGCTTTTGGTCCAATCCAGGCTGTCTGGTTCTGTGTCTCAGGGAGCCATTCTTGGTTCAATGAGAGCTCTTGGTCCAATGAGAGCTGGTTGGATTCTGTGTCTCAGGAAGATACTGGGATTGCAGGTGGGGTGGGCGAGTTTGGAGTAGGGCGTGGGTCTTGTAGATTGCAGGGTCCTTTGGGGTGTTTTGGTGGGGGAGCCTGCGCGCAGAGTTCTCCCTGCCGGCCATCAAATGGGGCAGCCCAGTTCAGTGCTTTTTAATATGTGATTCCCTAAAACATGGTTTCTCTCTCAGCCTGTATAAGGGTGAACAAAGAGTTTGGTAGCTTCAATAATATTAATAATGGTACAATAATTTAGTAGTTATGCACTTGACAATATTGAGGCATCCTCTCAATTTGTTAGGATTCTGTTACTGGTTCTAACTTGTTTTTGCCCTTCAATTTTGGTGAAACTCTGAAACAAACTTACTCCAAAAATTGATTAGGCCATACACACATTTTATCACACATAAATGAACCTTGGATACTAAAAGATTAGGAACAGACTAATTATTTCAATGACTCAAATTTGGGAAATAATGTCTGGAATTGTGGTGTATGGAATAGATTAACAGTAAGGAATGCTATGTTTGCATGGGAGGTGTCTCTTGATGCTTGTTAGGTAACTTATGCATTCTGCCATTCATCTTACATTCACTGGATGGTTTTAGTTCCTAGATAAGGTGGTATGAAAATAATTTCATCATAGGATGTCTTTGAGAATTTGCATATGAAAGGCAGTTAAGTATGTACCTATACCAATATGGTACCATAACACTTACAAGAATAGGTGTAAATACTTACAGTTGCAATCGGTACACACAATATTAGGGCCTTACGGTCCAGGGAAGGTGTAAAGTCCTTGTGAAAGTAAGCCTATTAGTTAGTGAGAAAAGGCAACCACTGCTGAGGAGAAAACTGAAGTTAGGAGATAGCATCATATAACTTAGTGTTTACACAAAGCATCTTCCAGAGAATGCTGCAGTAGCTCTCAAGAGAAGGCTCTATCTTTCTAGTCTTTGTGTCTCTGAACCTTAAGAGTACTTAGCATATAGTAGCCTTTTAGTAATTAGGTGAATATACTTAAGTGAAAGGGCTATGGGAAGAGGTCTTGAAACCACTGTACCTTGCAAGTAGCTTCAAAACTCATATTTCAGTTGGACTGCATTTTATAAATAGTAAGAAGGAAATATTGCAAGGGTTCTTTAAGGACTGATTTTACACTTCAAAACATTCTGTAAGTATGAAGGTTAGATCGGAAAATGGAATAAATTAAAGGTAAATGTGCTGGTCAGGATGCTGTACTGAGAGACAAGAAGTCTTGTCCTAGAGAAGTGGGTGTAGAAGAAAGGTAGCATTTGATTGAGAGTTTGGGATTCATAATATATATAATTTACAACTTGAAGTTATTTCTTTGGTTCCTTAGAAGGATTTGTAAACTTGTCTATGCATTGCTCTAGATGTTTCTCTTAACCTTTTTTGAAGAGATTTTATCATTAGACTTTAAGTACAAGGAATGTATTACTGGTTGGAAAATTCTGGGATTTAGTAATTAGCTGTCAGTGACAAAGGCATGTGTAATTATGAAGCACTAGGGTAGGTACTTTGCTTGGAATATTGCATTCCTGCAATTGCTGTAATTTTATACATTTCTGCATTTTATTCTGGCAGTGTGAGCCTTGAAATTAATCACTTTCTTTTCAATTAAGATCTATACTTTTTTATTGTATGTATGTGTCTGTGTTCCTGAAGAGTTTATGTATGTGCACCATCTATGTACAGGTGCCTGCAGAAGTCAGAAGAGGGTGTCAGATGCCCTGGATTTGGAGTTATGGGCCTTTGTGAGCCACCATGTGGGTTCTGGGAACTGAATTTAGTTATTGTGCAAGGAACAAAGAGCTCAGTGACATTAACTACTGAGCCACCTCTCTCCGCCCTCCTTTTTTCTAGTCTGGCTATTGGCAGTGTAGATTTGGACCCATGTCAGTATGACTGGGAAATCCCTTTTCTCAAAACACTTAGGACTTTCATTCTTTTCAAGAAAGGAAGAAGCAAGTTATATTATAAAGATGTGACTGCTAGTGCATGAATTGCTTATAGTAGAAAGTCAGGATTGATTGGTTGTTTTCAGTTGTTCCTTTTATTTATTGAAATGAGCATGAGTCTATTCTACATTGACATTTGAGATGTAGTTATCTCTTTCCTTAGGGGGAGGGTACTGAAAACAAAGTAGGTCCAGCTTTTATTGTTTTCTCCCAGGGTCCGTGGAAGAGTCTAACAACCAGCTGAGGATTCTAATCTGAGGGATATCAAATGAATTTAAGCACACTGAGTTCTTTAGTTCATTCACTTTATTCTTCTAAATTCAATTCTATCTACACAGTTTCTTTTCTGTTCTCACACCGAGCTCCTCTCTGTCGCTTTTTCTTCTGTCTCATCATTCTCTCTAGTTCTTACCATCTCTGTCCTCATCTTTGTTCTTCTAAATCAATTCCCCCCAAGTGTTGTGGGGGAACCAGTATATATACACAAGCAGTAATTCTTTGGCAAAGCAATGCTAGGCTTGAAGTTTTCAGGGTTCCAGTAAGAGGTGATAAGGAGCCACACATAAAGCAATAATTGTCAGCTTCCAGTTACAACGCAGAAAGGGGGAATGACTAAAGGGGAGTTTTCTGGTAGGGTTAACTAAAGGCTAAGATCAATTAGGGAATGCTAAAAAGTAATTTATGTGATCAAACTCATCTAGAAGTGGCTAGGTAGAATGTTAGTGGTCAATAAGTAACTAGAAAAGCAAAATTGTCTTTAGCGGCACACACACAACCCCTCTCCCCCCCCCAACCCCCCACCCCCAGGAGTAAGATCTGAGGATAAAATCTAGGAATAGCACCTGGCTGAGGAGGAATTGAAGCGAAGCATGGCACCTATTACCTTCCTGGCCTTGTCAGAAGTCTTCTTTGGTCATTGGGAAATGACTGTCTTAACTCAGTAACTACCAAGTAACTAAAATATCTTCCCAGGAATGTGAGCAGTAAATCTCTTAAGTTAGGATCTTATATAAATAACCCAGGGTTGAGGATTTAATTGCTAGTGGTTATTTTCTCTATCTATGGGTGAGATGAGATAATGTTTATCTGCATTTGTCCTTGGATAAAAAGGTATCTTAGCTGAAATACTTTTGTCTGACCCTGGCCAGATTTATGTTAATGAAAAATAAACACAGCTGGGGACAGTTATCTAATAACCCCAAAAGTATAGGGAAAATTGTGCCCAAGATTGAGACGCAATCATGAGATTACATGTATACATAACAGTACCAACCCACAAATAAGTAAACAGTTATGATATTCTCCTAATCATATGCATACCGTGCCCCACTGTTTGTTTTAATTGCCTTTTAAAATAGAGACTCAAAAGAACGTACAGGGAAGGAAAAATTCCTCCCTAATGATTGATTGCTTTACTTCTAATATTTATACTTAATTTAAGCTCTAGAATTTTACTCTTTGTGTTCACCTAGTATAAAACAAATTGGTTTCTATAGTAAAAGATAATGTAATGCCTTTAAAAACAAAACTCAAATGGTGTCTGTTAAATTGTCTTTTTTATGACAGAGAAATTTGATATATTTTTTTTAATTCCATTCATGGTCATTAGCTTATGCTCACTCTGTCTCTGTCTCTCTGTCTCTCATTCTCTTTCTCAGAGGTTGTTTGTGTTTTGTTATTCTTTGTTCAGAAGCTATGTAAGCAAAATAATAGCTTAATTTCAATGAAGTATGATAAAACCTTGGAATCCAGGAAACTAGTAAAAGAAAGGTATGGGGTTTTTTTAGTAGCATGTATCCATTGTGCAAAAAAGATAGGTTTCACTGTGACATTTTCATAAATCTGGATCTGCCCATGTTCACTAGATAGATCCTTTCTACTTGGCACTCTGATGGTTCTGAAGATACGCTTTGCCTTACCTTTTCTTGGTTGCTCCCCTTGGGGAATATTTAAAAGCATTGTGAGGTGTAATTGACGTGTGATAAACTGCTGTACATAACTTATAAATTTTGGAATATGTGTATCTTGTGAAATATGGCTTCTGCAAGTTTTCTGGTGTGTTCAGGATTAGTATAGTAATTGTATAGTAATGTGTTGTATAGTAATTGGTCTCATATTAACATAGATACTTCAACTTTCCTTTGACTATTGTTGACACAGTGTATCTTTCCTCCTTTTACGTATAACACATTTATCTTTATATTTACAGAACTTTTTTGTTAATTAAAAAATCCATAGGTAACATCTGATTTTTAATACAAGTATTTAGATAATGTTAATGGTATATAGGCTGAGTATCCCTTATCTCAGATGTTTGGAGCCTTTTTTAGTATTTTGGATTTTTATTTATTTTACTTTGAAGTATTTACACCTGCATACGTATCATAAAATACCTTGGGAAATCCGTGTCTGTACATGAAATATATTTTGTCCCATAAGTACTTGATACATATGTTTGTGTGTGTGTGTGTGTGTGTGTGTGTGTGTGTGTGTTTGTATCTTGAAAGTAATTTTATATACTTTCAATAAACCTGTATTTTGAGTATGATTATGTTATGAGATCAAGTGTATGATATTAATACTAAAAATCTTCAGATCTTTTTCAAGTCATTTTCAAATATCATATGCTTTGGTGGGTGGGATGCTGGATTACATTAAAAATTCTTCTATTTTTCTTTCTTTTTTTTTTCTGTTGTCCCATTTATCTGCACACTTCAACTTCCTTGAGCTACTTCTTCATTTTCAATAAAGTTGGGGAATTTGACCCTTTATTGTTTATTTCCCTTCCCTTCTTTGAAAGACTCCCCATATGATAGAGAACTTGAGGTTACACAGCAGCCTTCTGATGCTCTTTTTAATTTTTTTTGTTTCATTTGGTTTAGTGCACTGATCCTTTAGTAATCTGATTTTTTAAAAATCTTATTCAGTCTGTTGTTTTTAATCTCTAAGTTGTGGTTTTCCTGAGTAGAAGTTCAATTTACATCTTTTTTTGTTGTGTCTTTAGGGATAAGGTCTTAGACACAGGCCAGGCTGGCCTTGAACACTCTATCATCTTACCTTATCCTTCTGACTTTAGGTGTGCACCACCAACCCTGGCTAAAGTAACTTTTCATTAGCTTTATTATTTCTTTTTGAACAGATGGGATACATTTATCCTAATAACTAAATATGCTTATTTATTTCTTATGTCTGTGTCAGTTCTGGATGGTCTTTTATTGATAGAATTTTCTTCTAAATATGAGTTATACTTTTCTACTTACATATCTGATAATATTTGAATACTAGATATAATGATATTTATTTGTTGAATGCTACATTTCTCCTAATTTTTATTGGCATGTGTTTAACATGAATTCATCAGTTTCATAAGAACATTTTCATTCAAATGTGTCATGTATTTAAGTATTCTTGCATTTTGTTTTGGAATGTAATTAATGGGAAACCATTTGCTACTTTTGACTCTTAATTTTAACATTTTTTTTTTTAAATCTTGGTTCTGAGTAGCATTTTAGTGTATATAACATATTATTTCCTATGCATTCTACTCAGTGTTTTCTCACTTATGCAACTTTGCTAATGGAACCAGACATTATTACCAGTATTCCTCATAACATTTCTTTAACCATGTAGGAGAGTTGTTTCTCTGACTACAGGTATTTCTTCACTGAATATTCCAGGGCAGCCCTGAGAGAATTCTCTCATAGTATAGCTTTCTCTTGTCAGTCTGTACCATGAACTAGGACTACTTTGGACTTGTGAAACTGTTACTATTCTTTGCTCAGGACTCCTTCAGACTCTTGTTCTGTAGTCTTGACTCCTAAGACTCTTAAGGTAGTTAAGCTAGGGTTATCTGACATTGGCTGAAATTTTCTCTTATGTGAGGTTTCTCTGACTTTGGCACATGATCTCAATTTTAAATTGTTTTTGTTTCTACTTAATTATGGACCAACTTTACAAAAGCACACATGAATGTGGCTAAATATCATCCCAAGATTGTAGTTCTAAGATGATCAATAATTCATCATATTGAATACAAAATTTCTTAAGCTATAGAAAATTGGGTCTGACATTATTATTAGGACTTTTGTTTGTTTCCTTTTTGAAATGAATATATTTTGTTTCTGAGACAAGGTCTCTCAATGTAGCCCAGACTGGCCTAAAATTCATCATGCTCAAGCTGGCTTTTAACTTATGACAGCTTCCAACTTTGGTTCACTGAGTGTTGGGATTACAGGTGTGCACCAGTACATTGGCTAGGTATTTAAAAAATGAAGATGTTAATTTGTATATTATTTATCTTAAAATTAACAGTACTCTCTTCAGTTATTATTGTAACTGTAATAGGCCATCCCTATCTTTGTAACAGAATCTTGAAATATAATTTACCCTAGAATGCTGAACTTAATTCTTATGTGTTAGAATTGTGATCTGCTATTGGTGCTAAATGCTTTTCTGAGGTCAGTTAAGATAATGCATTATTTTTATTTATGACATATGCTCTTCTCTTGTCCTGTTTCACCAGTTGTTCAGAGGCAGAGTCCACCTGTATCTTGAATATTGATGAAAAGAACAAGTTGGGTGCCAAGATTATCAAGGCAGAGATGATGGGAAATATGGTAAGACCCCTGTGTGTTTTACACTTGGAAAAGAATGAAATGTTTAACCTTCACAGATATTTTTAGAAGCTTTAGCCATTTAGATGTGGTATCCTTTAAAGAAAATAGTTACTGCTTATTAATTCCTTAAAGAAATTCTTGAGAATTTCTAGAAACAGTACTCTTGTGGTTTCTCTACTGGAGAAATATATATTATCTCTCATTTATTAGATTTCTGAAATTTATGAAAAAATTTTTATTTTTAAGCACTTTTCTATTTTATTCTTGCATTTCTAACACCTGGTACATAATTGGATGAGTTAAAGATGTCTTTGTTTCATTCCATTTTAACTTAATACGAATGCTTATTAATATCTTTTTGTAAAGATTTAATTTTCTTTAATTTAGTGTGTGTGTGTGTGTGTGTGTGTGTGTGTGTGTGTGTGTGTGTGTGTGTGTTCATGTATACTAGGATGCCCACTGAGGCCAGAAAAAGGTTTTGGCTCCTCTGGAGCTATGGAGTTAGAGGTGGTTGTTTAGTGGGTATTGAAGTCTGGTCCTTTATTAGAATAGCAAACACTCTTAACCACTAAGCTATCTACAGCCCAACAGTGTTTATTACTTTCTTAAAATGAAACTTAAGAACCTAAAACCTTGTGGCAAGTGCAAGGGCTCAGTAGGTAAAAGAGTTTGTCACAAAGACTAATGCCTGAGTTTCATCTATGCAACCCATATAGTAGAACCTATTACTGTAAGTTGTTCTCTGACCTCCACACATATGTTGTGGTTCATCTCAATAATAAATTTAAATTGTTTTAAAAAGAAACCAAAAAAAGTTTATGAGTTAAGACCAATTTGCCTAAAATTAAATAGAAATAGGGTTAATTTGGTATGACCTCATCCATATATTCTTTTATCACATATATATATATATATATATATATATATATATATATATATATATATATATATATAATATACCATTATACTAATTTGTGTTAGTATTGATATGGCAGATAGCAAAGACATAAATCCTTCTGTGTGCCAGTATAGTAAATTAATTAGCTGAACTATACGTGGGCTTGTTTTAAATTTAAGTGTTGTTTAAATATTCTGTTGTGGTGTACTATCAGTGCTCTAGAGTACAAGAGGCAGCTAAGGAAGACCATTTTGTTCTTGTCGTGTTATAGACTGTGTATATGCCCTCCGTTTCTTTGAACATAGTTTTGCTAATCAGTGAAATATATCTCAACCCAGAAATCAGTAAGAGAGATAAATTAACTAATAAATAATTATAATAAAAAAAGTGAAATTTAATATTTCAAAGTACAGAGGAATCAGTGAAAATAGTGGAGTGGTTGCCTAGTAGATTAACTTACGTTAAAAACTTACATTGAAAAAGATGTTCTGTTTTTCATGGAAACATGGATGATTAGCATGTTATTTTTTGTCTTTGAAATAACTTATCATTTTGTGGTTTATTGCTCGTTTTATATAAATTCACAGAGTTCTTAGAATAGTGAAATATATTTAGAGTTTTTGTGCAAATTTCTCATCAGAAATGAAGAAAATACAATTTTTTTTTGTCTTGTGATTGCTCCCTATAATAAATAACTGAAGATTTTAGTATTGCAAGTTTGTAATACCTAAGAAATTGCAGAAGTGTAATTCTTGATGCTATGTACTTTTTTCATTTTCTTGCCTGTCCCAACTTATAGTTTCTTGAAATTATTCGCCTCAAAATCATAAAGAAATTATCTCAGTACTCGAGATATTTATAACTGAACAATGCTCCTTAAAATTATTGTCAGTTGTGTATTGAAGTTAGCTGTTGGCTGTAGGGCTTTTTGTTAAGCTTTTTTCTGTTTTATAACTTTGAAATATTCTGTAATGAGGAATTTAACATCACAGCTTCCCTATTTAACTTTTCCCTTTGTAGGAATTAGCTGAACAACTTAAAGCCCAACTTAAAGAGGCAAATAAATTTAAAGAAACCATAACAGAGATATCAGCAAAAAGATTCAGAGTAGAGGTAAGTAGTAAAAGTTTGCTTGAATGCATATTATTTCTTAGTTTAATATTATTATACTGTAGTAGTGATATTGTAATTCTAGATGGCTATGTGTAAATTTCACTAACATTCCCTGATGAAAGCCTCATCCTCAGGCCAAGGAAATCTGCTTTTATTCTAAATTCTTTAATACTTTAATTCTTAACTTCTTTTTCTATAAAAGAATAAGAGACTTGAATTAGACATTCATTTCAGATAAGTGTAGATGAACAGTTGTATTAAATAAGAAACACAGAGCCAATTGCAGATTTAAGTCTCAGCTCTCAGCTACTGCTCTGACCTCTTGGGCTTTTAACTCTGCAATTGGCTCTGTGTTTCTTATTTAATAAGACTGTTCATCTACAGAAAAGACAAATGATTTTGTCTGTGGTCTGTTCATCTATATAGTATAGAATGAAACATGTAAAAATACTTACCTATATAGAACTTTTATTTGAGTAGAGATGGAGGGACAATGGAAACCAAGTGATGGTGCACATCAGAAGGTTATACATCCTATGCTAGAAGAATGGGAAAGAGTTTTATGCACCTGTTGGGTGACTGGATTAAGAGGTGCATTTTTTTTTTCTGGGAAATACTGACCTTTCTTACTGTAAAATTGATAATACATTTTTGGGATAATGGTATTTGCTTCTAGATTTTAGATTCCAGTGGGAAATGTTCATCTCTGGCTATATCATCATGTTGACTTTATAACTTAATAAGTGTTTTATTTTCTCCTTCCTTAAAATAAGAAATCACAGTTTTTGCCAGCTATAAGGCTGTTTTATAGATAATGAATGGATAGAACTAAAGCATTTTGAGATTTGTTTATAAGAATATTCATATAAAATATTTGTAATGAAACATTTGGTTTCAGTGTTTATAAAATCAAAAGCTGTGCAGATTGAACTGTGATTATTGGGAATAATTTAAAACTCTGGAATATTTGGCATTCTTAGTAAATGAAAAGCTTTTATAAATCCTTTCTATTTATACCAGAAAATGTGTTTGCTTTCTTTGGTGAAAAAAATAGTAAATTACATGGGTGTTAAGAATGATTTGACTATTTTCCCTTTTAATTTCTTGAGACAAGGTCTCTCTACTCTGTAACTCTGGTCCTGGAACTCACTAGATCAGCTGGCTTGGAATTCAGCAGAGATCTACCTGCTTCTGCCTCTCAAGTGCTAGAATTAAAAATGTTTGCCACCATGCCAGGTTTTCTTTTCCCCCTCTCTTTTCTCTGTAGAATGGACCTCTCTGTTGTTTCATAAAGTGAATTGGTTTCAGGTCTTATGGACTGACAGCATCATGGAAATGAAAGTGGACAGAGTGACAACCAAGGGGAGGAAGTGGGTTAATTTTGAGAGCATATCAATCAGTTTGAGGCCCTGGCTTGTTAATTCCATTTATCAAGCATTTATTGAGGACTCTGTGTTGTTTGACAGTGTACTAAGTCTTATATATACTTAAAATGCTTACTTTTTCTTGGACTGAAAAGGTGGCTAAGACAGAAAATCACAAGTAGTCTAATAATAATTTTTTTAATGACTTGTGATTTAGCAATGTGAATATTCTTAAAATTGCTTGGGAACGAGTGCTAGCTATGATTACATTCTTGATTTTCTTATTGAAGAAGAAAGTAACTTTTTCTGTGAAATGGAGGTAAAGTGTATACAGTTAATTTATCAGAATTATAAAGAGTTAGAAAAGAAATACAGGGCCAGAAGTTGAAGGCCTTGCAGGTGCCTGGCTGTAGACGAATTTCTAAGCGGTCTTATTAAACAAAAAACATAGAGCCAAATATAGGGGTGCAAGCTTTAGAGATCAGGGAAATAGAAATAGCCACCAGCTAACCTTACCTCACCTCGCCCGCAGCTTCCAAAGTGCTACTTCCTGTCTACCAGCATCTTTATTGCCTTGCTGTTCTGCCCTCTCATTGGCTCTTAGCCCAGGTACCACAATTCCTTGTGATTTCCTTTCTGTACAGACCTCCAGATCTCTGTGGTTGGTACTGGGATTAAAGGCATGTGTCACCACACTAGTTTGGCCTTGAACACACAGAGACCCTGCCTGCCAATTGATCGGATTAAGAGTGTGTGCTACCACTGCTTGACTTGTGTGTTTACTTAAAATGGCTTGCTATTTCCTCTGATCTCTAGGCAAACTTTATTTATTAACATACCAATACAATATTACCACATTTCAGCACAAATAAAATATCACCACCATGTTTAGTACAGTGCCTCTAACCTTCTGTGCACAATTAAGGTTGTTTATAGATGCATAGTGTGTGTTTGTGTGTGTGTATGTGTGTGTGTGTGTGTGTGTGTGTGTATGTATGTATGTATGTGTATATGTTGTGTTCGTCTTAGACTGATAGTGTCATAAAATGTGATTCACATTATTGGAAAACGAAATAAAAAATATAGGAAATGGGGTTGGAGAGATGGCTTCATAGTTAATTACTATAGGTTTGGTTCCCAGTATGTGCCTGGCAGTTCACAAACATTTGTAACTCCTAATCCATGGGATCTGTATCTCTCTTCAACCCTCTTCAGGCACTAAGTTCACATGTGGTACACATGTATTCAGGCTAAGCATTCATGCATGTAAAATAAAAATACAAGAAAATACAAAATGTCTCAATTTTTAATTTAGGTTGAAGCAACATAAAATTCATGTGTGCTGGCTTCAAAGATCTATGAACACTCAGTTTCTAGATCTTTTATTGCATTGATAACATATTTCACACCTGGTCATTCTGAGCATCACCCTGTTTTGTGATACATGGTCTCTCAATTAAGTAAAGACTGGCACAATTAAATTTATGTTTAGCAGTAGAGTTTGTGGCAGTATTAGTGGCTATGAGGTTGGATTTCTGGGAAATCAATGAACCTTGGAATCACCAACATTTGATAGGTAGCTCTAAAATGTAGCAGAAAGTGAATCTGGCTTTCTTTATATTAATAATTCTTATGGGGAATAATTCTCAAATGAAGCTATAAATTTGAGGTCAGGGACTTTATTTCTTAGAAATATAGGCACTTAATTATTTGCTAATGCAGATACTTTAGTATTTGCTGGTTAAAGAAAGAAAGGCAGAAAAAGTTTCAAGGACATGGGAGATGGCTCAGTCATTAAAATACTTGAGATGGATCCCCAGAATCCATGTAATAAAACCTGATAATCCCAGTGCTAGAGCAGGAGACAGGCAGATCTCTGAACTTGTTACCTAGGCAGCCTAGCCTATATAGCAGATCCTAGACCAGTAAGAAATCCAGTGAAAAAGCAAACAAGCTATACAAACCGGATAGATGGTGGTCAAGGAAGCACATCCAAGGTCATCTTCTTGACTATATGTGTGTGTACACATACACACCAGTGTGCACCTCACATGCAAAACTCAAAAGAATTCAGGCTAGAGAATGTGATAAACATAATAAAAATACTTTCAAATCAAAGAATGTGGTTAATACAATTAACAATTGTTGGGTTTAGTAATTTGAAAGTCTTTAGTATTAGACTAGAGAGCAACTTTCACAGTGTGATGAAGTTAGAAGTTACATTACTGTGTTTTACCATCTTTTTGTTCTAGCTAGGGAACAAATAGAAAGGCTTAAAACATAGCATTTCATGAAGTAATTGAGGGAGAATAGTGACAGTGTCCATTAAATATTTGGAGAAAAATAAATTCTTATAAGAACAGTAATAAGTATATATTTTAGTTCTTCAACATAGGAGCTGCTAAATGTAATTGAAATTGATTTATATATTTAAATCTGATTTGAGAAGAAAATTGAAATGTGAATAATTTGATTGGCCTTGTTTCAAATTGATCTTCAATGAGTTCATTACCTAATGCTCCTTATTATTAACAATGACATACCACTTTCATCATAGAAAACTATTATTTTGTGTTATGTCAGGAATATATTTGGCTGCAATTTTTTTTTTTTTAGAAAAGATAGTATCTTTAAACCACGTGAAATGTAATAACCTTTGAAGAACCAGATGCATGAAAGACATTTGAAAGGTCTTAGGCAAAGGAAACGCTGATATCGTTGCAAAAGTTAAATTGAAAAATCGACTTTTGGTTATAATAGGGCAGTTGATTGTCTTGTTACAATCAAGTTTAAAGTGTAAGTTTCTGAAACACCAATTAAATATTCTGTCTACCCTATCAGAGATGGACATTCTCAGTCAATCCCTGGTAGACTATTGGTACTTTATTGTAGTGATATTTTATTTGTGCTCTAACAAATAAAACTTATCTGGTGATCAGAGGACAGAGCCAACCACTAGGTTAGACATAGAGGCCAGACAGTGGTGGCACACATGCCTTTAGCCCTTAATCCTATCACTCGGGAGGCAGAGATTCATCTGGATCTTTGTGAGTTCAAGGCCACACTGGGAACAGAGCCAGGCATGGTGGTACATCTTTAATCCCAGCACTTGAGATTTCATGCCTTTTCTTGGGAAGGACACAGGCCTTTAATCCCAGGAAGTGACATGCCTGGGTGGAGAATGGTATATAAGGCATGAGGAGACAGGAACTAAGCAGCAGTTCAACTGAGATCCTCAGGGGTGAGGACTCAGAGGCTTTCAGTCTGAGGATTTGTGGAAACAGAATTGGCTGAGGAGTTGTCGAGGTGAAGTTGACTGGGTTGTTCTGTTTTTCTGATGTTTTAGCTTTCACCTCAATATCTGGCTCTGGGTTTTCTGTTAATAAGACCATTGAGATTCCTGTTACACTTTATCAGCCTTTTTTTCCCAATGAGTTTTTATTGATTATTTGGAAATTTCACATAATGTACCCCAATCACACTTGCTTCTCAGTCCTCCTAGATCTACCCTCCCACCTTTGTGCCCACCCTAGGATGTAGGGGGAGAGAAAGAAAGAAACACATCAAGTTTAATTTGTGTTGCCCATATACTCATTGGAGCATAGTCAACTGGTACCAATGGCCAGCCCCTTAAAGAAAACTGAGTCCTTCCTCACCCTCAACCCCTACCAGAGGCCATCAACTGTGAAGAACTACACTTCATCATGTATTTCACAATTTTCTATTTAGTGGCTTCCTGTCTAGACTTTGGGGGGGGGGTGTTTCACAGAATTCCACCAATGTCTGTCATTCTCAACTGTGAGTCTGCAGTCATCTATATCACTGCAAAGGTAGTTTCCTCACTCTTTACATTCATAGACTTCCACAGGGTTTCTGGCAATAGACAGCATAGTATGCCACATCCACATGGCCTCTGGGGCAAACAGGCCCCTGGCAGAAACAAGGCCCATGGACATCAACATTACTTCCGGCAGCAGCACAGACCACTGATGTCAACATTGCCTCCAGTGGGACTAGACAACAAACATACACACAGCCTCTGCTGCAGCAGGAAACAAAGGTCCCAGGTTGCATCAGGGATCCCATGCTTCATCTTGGCCTCTGGAGGCAACATGAACCACAGACACGAATATGGCCTGCTGTGGCAGCACCACCATCTTTGTTCTCCTCCTTATCATCCTTTAATAGTATTTGGATGAAACTTTTTGAATTGGGACCAAGACATAGGCCTGGAATATTCGCCATGTGGGAGAAGAAGGTGGGGATATGGCAAGTGCAAAGTCAGCTTGGGATATGGAGAGAGATCAAGGCCACCGTGGGCAATTTAGTAAGACCGTATCTCAGAATCTTTAAAAAAAGGAAATAAGAGGGCTGGGATATAGCCCATTGGTGCGCTGCTTAGTATTATGCATGAGGCTTTAGGTTCAATCCCCATTAAGCCCAATTTAAAACAGTGACAGAACTATTTGAAGGTCGCTTCAGTAGTTGAATTATTAAAATACTGAAATGAACCTTTGGTCTCTCCCCTTCTTGTCTTTTTTTGTTATGGTCACTTTACATTGGGTAATAAAAATCCATGAGATTTAAAAGGCTCATAATTGTGTATGCAAACTAGAATCTTTTCTGTAATTTGTTGTTGTTAAGTGTGGATATTTAATATTATATGAATTTCAAATATTAACTAAACCTTTTCATAGCATGAGGATGAAGAAGTGATCCTTATTAGAACAGATGAATCTGGACGAATGTGGCCTGTGAACACCCCCGGAGAGACCCTGGATATGAAAGCAAAAAGAAGGAAGAGACAAAGAGTATGTGTAGCATACCCTTTCAATTACTAATTCACAATTGCTTTATTCTCTTTTGAGTTCCTTTTGCATTAGACTAGTTTTTTTTTTTTAAATGAAAACATTGGAAAATAACAAACTTTCACTTTTATTCTTTTTTTTTTTTTTTTTTTTTTTTTTTTTTGTTTTTCGAGACAGGGTTTCTCTGCGTAGCTTTGCGCCTTTCCTGGAGCTCACTTGGTAGCCCAGGCTGGCCTCGAACTCACAGAGATCCGCCTGGCTCTGCCTCCCGAGTGCTGGGATTAAAGGCGTGCGCCACCACCGCCCGGCTCACTTTTATTCTTAATGGTATCTTTTTACCTTTTACAAATGGCAAAAAGTTGAACTGTTTCCTTTCCAGTGACTGAACATGGAAGGCTTACTGCAATTTTCATTTTAATGTGTATGTCTTTGACATTGTATTCAGTTTCTTTGCATATTTACCATATTGCACATAGAAAAGCTTGACCTGCTAGACCTGTTATCTTTGTAGACACCTAGTTTGAGGTCTGATGATAGGGTGTTCACGCACAGTAATGTCTTAATTACATAGGGGCTAAGAGCTTTTGAGCACCATATTTTCTTTTCCATCTTTCAGCTCTACTTTGAGTATGGACAGCTGGCAAAACCAACACTTTCACTTCTCCTAAGTTAGGTTTTTGTTTTAAATTTGGAGATCATGTAGATGATAACTGAATATACAAATAATTATTTGGGAATATTCTGTCAAATATTGGTGGTTTGCCTGTTGAATGCCTGTTACTCTATAGATACTAATTAATTCTTTCAATAAATAGAAATGAGATTGATACTCCTAATATAATGGGAGTTCTGGTGAAGCTGGAGAGAGATGGAGAAATATAAGATTTGAATATTTAAAATGGCAGAACTGACTAGCAGTCCATAAACACATTGTCAGATGCCATGGAAGCCCTTTTAAGTTGCACACTACTGAACGATTTAAACAAGTGATTAAAGTCGGAGACAGAGTCGTTTATTCGGGGTTTGCATTTTGAGCATAGGCCAAATATTAAGTCTGTAGAGTCAAGGAAATCATGTCAAATTAGGTTCAGGTTAGTGAAGAAATAATAGCAATGTTAGAATAGATGATAGGACACTGGTTTTAGGAATCTCAAAGAAGGTAGGGGATGGATTTTATTTGAATTCTGTAATGAGTGGTTGGACTAAGGAGACAATAAATAGCACCTTGTGATTCCTATGTGGATATGGAACCAACTGTGAAGAAAACCCAGGGCTGAATTATATGGCCTCAGAATACCAGCTTTGCTTTTAATAAAGCTGTTTGTAAGCCGGGCGGTGGTGGCGCACGCCTTTAATCCCAGCACTCGGGAGGCAGAGCCAGGCGGATCTCTGTGAGTTCGAGGCCAGCCTGGGCTACCAAGTGA